CAGTTTTATTCCATTTTTAACACCAAAAAATGAACTCAATGAAATATTTCAGCATTTAAATAGGTTCCAATAAATTAATCGCTTTTAGATTTATAAAGTGTAATTCTTCATTAAATTAGCCGGTTTTAATTGGCTACTTTTTATTCCATAATATCGATGCCCAAATTTGATTAGTCTTGACTCCTGGAATTACGAATCCAGCGGGCTGGCTGCTCGTCACATTAACATTTTCGCTGAGGAAACGTAGTCCAGTCTTTTATTATGAAAATTAATATTTAATGTTGTCTAGTGTCATAGTTCACGAAATTGATGTCGCTAATGGCCACGAAGCTATAAAGCGACATAAAAATATAACTACAGTAAACCTTCATTAACGCGAATTCCAAGGGACTGAAATAATCGGAGTTTGTTTTATAAAAATTCGCGTCATTCGATTATAAATGAGCCTATTACAGAAATCTCTTGCCGGGACAAAAGTTTTATTCTTGTTACGGCGACATTCGTAGAGTTCGTGGTAACGAGTTCGTGCTAGCGAGGGCTTACTGTAAACTAATAAAATGTTGTATTTAGGTCGACGATGAGGGGCAAACCCCGCTCCACTACGCGGCCGCCGCGAACGAGCACACTACCATTCGCATCCTGCTGACGGCCGACGCGAACCTGGAGGCCCGCGACAACGCCGGGCGCACCCCCATCGACTTGGCCACGACGGACTTCGTGCGCCGCCTGCTGGAACCCATACCCGACCCCACGCACCCGCTGCCCAACGGTTCTGCGGTGACGGCCAACACCGGCGATTAACACCAGCTCTCGCTCCTGGGCCCTACGCAATGGAAGTCTTGAGGGGAACCGTACACGGCTCGCAAGGCTGCCTTCCGTCTGTTGTAAAAAGTCAGTCGCGTTGTTCAAGATGAATTAACTGGTTTACACTAGGCGCAAGCAAGGCTTGTTCAGTCGTGTACGATCACTTCTAGCATTCACCTGAAGAAATATGGCCTGGCTTAAGTCGACTGCGTTCGTCACAACTTGAAAGTTCTGAAATGTGTAGTTGTCAATATTATACTTAATTTGCTAAAGCATTCCTCCTTTCATAATCTGGAATTTCTAAGATTAGGGTTTTAAACTGTTCTAATTGCCCTTGCCGCAAAATTTTAGTGTAGCTTTATGAAAATTTTTCCATTTTTCTACCATTCAATGAATCCACGGATTATTCCTTGTTCTGGCGAGTATGATCGTTTCTTACGTAGAAATGTGCATAAAATTTAAAATTCTGCTACTAAACATGCCAATTGTGTGTTCTGCTCTTTACACTAGACATGCGTTTCTCTGAAATTTGGTACAAATTTAATGTGTCGCAACTGTGAATTTTCAGGTTATAATTTTAAAAATAAATCTTTTACATCTTACATTTGAGATTATTGCACATAACCCAATTTCCTCTCCTCGACCAATGAAATTTTCCAACAGATCATTTAAAATCTTTGACAAGATTCTATCAATTCTGTCAAAGTGAAACTCGAAATCTTAATGGTGCAGGGAGACATTGACAGGTGTATAAAATTTCATATTTATTTGTTCTTTTCTTACATTGGATATTTTGTTATACGCTTACAAATTAATCTTTTAGAAATTATTTAAAACCTATTTGAAATAAATATGAAATAAAAGGTTTTTAGTCTTCACCCTCCCCCAGTTTACGTAGTTGGATGCTACGTAAGTTAGAATGTTTGTATTATTTCATGTATCATTGTATTATATATTTAATTTTAAACTGCGTCCCTTATTAAATTTTGTTAAATGTGAAAACAAATGGATGAGCGGTCATTGTTGGTTGCTGTTGCCCATTGCGGCGCCGCACAGATAAGATCATAAAGGCTGCTTTTGGTTCGCGAAAATAAAAATGAATACTTTTATATTTGTAGAAATGACAATACCAATGTGTTTAATAATTACTATTATATATTTTTCGGTGTATTTGTTTTCCAACGATATCAGTATCGTATTATTAACTTTTAAATATTTAACTTTTTTGCATTCTGCATATTTTTGCCCCAAATGTTCTACGATTTCTAATGAGTTTTCCAAAAACAATGATTCGGAGAGAAATTGTGGAATAAATAAGTTTTACATAACAATTACTAATGGCTAGAAAGTACGTGCTCGTTTTACACCACTAGTTTGCCGTAGCATTTCACAACTTTATACTGCGTGTATTACTCCGTTTATAGCTCCGTATATTACTCCGTATATACGTACGTATACCTGAAAATAAAAAAATAAACACACAAAAATATAAAATGTACAAGTACATAAAGTGTATAAAAATGTACAAATACATAAAGGGATAAAGATGATTCCTGAAACAAGTGAAGGTAAATCGTACTTTGATTGTATTTAAGATGACTGAACTAGTTAAAAAACATTTAATAAAATTCTCATTCGAAAACGATTCGAAATATTGAGAACATAAATTTGACCAAATAGGAACACACTTTTTTAATTAAAAGCAATCCAACTCGAGAGGAAATGATTCATACAAATTTACAAGGACGACTTAGTTTTGAAAAACCAATAATTACCTGGAGGAGAGTAAATTCATTCTTTACCAATTTAATAGTATAATGAGATTACAAAGAGAAGAACGAAAAGTCCAGGAAAAACACAGTCCTACTGTAAGGCTGCTCGAAAATGAAATCTGAATTGGATTTCGAAAGCGAGTTCGAGTTTGAATCAAGGAATTTCATGATTACAAATTTATTTACTTTTAAAAGTATTTTAAAGTACTATTAAAACTATTTTAAATTACTATTAAAACTATTTTAAATTAAATTATGATCAATAGAGACCGGATTTTTATGTAATAGCATATTTTTGTCTTTGTCTTACCTACTTACCAATTGTAATATTGTCGAATAAACACTATATTCAATTTTTTCGTTATATATTTTTACATATTTAGCCCATTATTTTTATTATTTTCATATATCCTTTATATCATATATTTTTTCTTAATCATTTTCCTCCAAATTTATTATTTTTTTTTTATGAAAAGAAGTTTTTTCAAAACAATCACATCCCCACGCTACATTACTTCTGCGTGCTGTCTACTCGAGGTACGCTTCTTGAAGACGCGGTCGGTTGTTATCACAGTCAGGGCACGCCTGCTTCACTTATTTGAGTGGGGGGAAGTGCGCTTTAGCGACTGAGATCTCTTTCACTGAAAAGTATCACTGACTCTGCGTTTCTTGACCTTTAACTTTATTTCCCGAGAAACTTCGTCGATCGCCGACGCGTAAACTTCAATTCTGCCCGCTGCAGTGATTGCTGATCGAAGATGTTGCCAGTTTGTTCGATGGCTTCTATTTCGTCCAGTCTGGCAGCTTAAGTTATGGTCATGGATAGCAACAGATGAATCTTTTTAAAACCGATTGATTGACTGGATGATTTCTAAATCATTTGTATAAAAAAAACACATATTTTGACGTTTCAAACTACATATTTTCCTGTCGCTAATGATCAGTTCATAGAAGTGCATGACGTGATCAAAAAAGAAATTAGCCAAGAGGGCTACAATGCATCAATGCCTATTAGAATAGAGGAAAACCTAGCAGTATTTTAAAAAAAAGTATTTCTTTGATAATATTTCAGTTTTCAATAGAGCCAGAATGTGTATGCAAATACTTATTACATTTTTTGCTAATGGTTTCTTAGACAAATATCACATTTCTTTAGGAATCAGCCTATTTGGAAGTTTTCTACCAAATTTTATTTTCCAGATTTTTGCATATTTTCGCATATCTGAAGGATACTGCATATTTAAGCGCTTTCAGTGGAATTTTTGAAACAATAAGGAAAATCTGGTAATTTATTTAAATATTAGTGAATTAGTAGCTTTGAAAAAGGCTTAAATCAAGCTTCTCGAAACTGATGAATTATAGATACCACGGTTCATAAAACACCTCATTATCTTTATTAAACACTTCAAAATGTTTTGTATCATAAAGAACTTTAAGAACACGCACGGTTTCAATCAGTTTTTCTTCTATCTTCAGTAAAGTCACGGTGACTGATCAGGAAACTGCGTGTAACACACTGCGCTCCGCAGGGTCACCACGGACACACGTCGCCCTGCGCTCTAACGTGCGAGAGCTCAATACGCATAATGGTTCGCAGAAACTTACCATGAGTCACCCTCCGCAAGTCACGGATCTGCTCCTCATTTTGGGAGTAAAACGTTAAGGGAGATAGTTACTGAATGGGGGTGCACGTCTACCGCAAGAATAGCTAATTTACATTTCATTGACGGTATAATGACTGCCAAGATAATGTATTTAAACGTTTAAAAATACTATTTTAAAAATTGTGCTGCTAATTGATAGGTATTAAAATAATTTTAACGGGCCATTGAGCATTGGAAGTAAGGCATTGAGCATTGGAAGTAAGCACATGGCTGCTTTATATTAGCTGCGATATGAATTGATACTCCTCGCAATCGTATAATTTAAATAGTATGGATAATCTTCGCCAGAAATTAGAGCAAAATGTTCAATACCATGACGTCCATGTTATCACAGGACTAAAGGAAGTCTTGAAAGAGGAGTCGTTAAAAATTGAAATTGAGAACTACTATTTTTCCTTCCGGTACTGTAAACCAATTTTTCTGTATCAAGGATCCTCAAAACGTGGATTCTGATAACATTACGTTTTAGAGGAAATACTTTGACACGATTTATTCATTTTGTCGATATGAGGGCTCCACAATAAGTTTTGTCTACCAAAAAATCGCTACTTTTGACGCAACATTACAATACTTTCACTATACTAAGTGAGTAGTATGCAAGAAAAAGAAAAATATTGGATCGAAGGCAAAAGTAAAAGGGAAGCGTTAACAATATAGAAAATAATAATTCAAATCACAAATATTAAATGAAAAATAAAAATGATATTTTTAAAACAAATAATAGTATAATTTATGATACAATTTAATGTATGATATGAAGCCAAAAAAATTAGTAAGTATCAAATGCCGAAGTAGGTCAGAAATTGTAATCAAAATATGGAGAAAAGATAATATTAATAATAAACAAAATATTATTAATAAACAAAATTAACCCTAGGACTCTGGAGCTTTTTTTGTAACTTCAATTCCATTTCTCTGAACCCATTAGAATAAAACAATTCTAATTATGAAAAATGATAATTTTAATAATTACTTATCAATTACAGTTGAAGCTAGTAATTTTAATGATATCATTAGTAAAAATGAAAAACTGTGTTAATTTTTTTCAAGATCATTTAATATAAACATTTTGAATGCATTTGACAAAAATTATTCTAAGTGATCAGCTTCAGTGAATTGGACATACAAAACAAATCTTTGTGAATACTTATTACAATACAATTTGGTTTGCTCAGATGGTTGTATTTTTTACTTCTTTATTTTGCTTTGGAGGTGCAAATATAGCACCTGTCTTTGACAAAAGGAGTCTGATATTGATGGACTCTTACATTCTTAATATTCCTTTCGAGAATACTACCCATAGAATGCACACTTCTCAGTGATAAGCCATTTACTCCCTGTAGCTTGTCACCCACAGTTTTTAACTGTTTTTGATCTAAAGTAAATAAATAAAAAATGAATAAATAAATAAATAAATAAATAAATAAATAAATAAATAAATAAATAAATAAATAATAATATAATAAATATAAGTAAATAATTAAATAAAAATAAATAAATAATAATAAATAATAAATAAGTAATAAAGAATAAACGAATAACGAACAAACGAACACGAACAACGACAAACGAAAACGACAAACGAACAACGAACAACGAACAACGAAAACGAACAAACGAACAAAACGAACAAATGGAACAACGAAACGAACAACATAATACATACATACATACATACATACATACATACATACATACATACCTGATATGCCACTTCATAATAAGTATTCGGTACTGTGGACTCCGAAGTGGGGGGAACCCAAAGCAATATTTTCATTTTAATGTTGCTATGAAATAACTTACAATCAGTCAATCCACTTTATGTCCACATACTAAGCCCAGTTGACAATAATTCAAAAGGAATAAACTCCATGAAATTAATTAGAAAGAATAATGCGGAAAATCAATACTTGTGGGTTCAACAACACTCTCCTCTTTGAAGTTCTTGGTTTAAGATACTGATATTGGTAATAGAAATATATTGCATATTTTAGGATTTAACAAAAATGTTTTATCTATACAAAGTTTAGAGAAAAAGAGAAGAAAATAATGCTTGACTGTAATGGAGCTAAAAATAACTTCAAGATATTAAAAAAAAATAGTTCAAAAAAGTTCAAAAGAAAATTAATTTAGAATACATAACATATCCACATAGATTTGTGGTCCATTTTTAGAAAGTTGGGAGGAACTGCTCTACTTTTCGAAAAGAAAAAAAAATGATGTTTTGAACGCTATTCCCCCTGAATTTTGTAGTGCTGATTCCACATTATGTTATCAGTTTTCCTACATCAAATCCACTTTTCTTAAAAAATGAAAACGAAATGTTCATATTTACCCATTACGGATATGTATATTTGTACCCTTCTACAAGATGATTGTCATACTTAAGAAAGTGTTGTGTATAAGAATTATGTAATCATGTAATTATAAACATAATGCATGAACATTTCACAAGAGCTGCCAAGAGTTGATATAATTGATAGGGCTATTATTTTACAGGCAGAAATTTCCTTCTTTTTGCACTTTTTCCATATACACAAGAAATACTTTCCCTTTTCAGGGACCAAGAGTAGTCTGCAATATGTTAACTATCCAATCACCATGGCATCTACTTACAGTCTTTCAAATCTTGGTGAAAACATTCACTATGTTTCTTGCTATAGTAGCCAAAACAGTCTAGAAAATAGTCCCAAATTTTCCAACATGATGTTTACAACAATTTTGTAATCTGCACTCCTCATGTTTACATTTTTGTTGTTATGCCAGACCTGTTTTTCTGTTTGGCAACTGTATTCTCAAAATTCACAAAATAATTTCCTGATCTGAGATCTAGTAAAAACACCTGCTTTCAGCTTATCTCGTCATTCTGTGATAAACACTACATATGCACTTAAAACATTCACTCTCTTTGTCCAGGGCACATACAAACTCTTGTAAATTGTAAAACTCGTAAAGTGGTGTAATCACACTTTAACACTAGATTCTTCCCAATCCATACAATATTATATTAACAGGACTTGTATGAAAAACAAATTCTTAATTAAAACATGACATGATAGGAAAAATGGATTATACTGTTAAACTTGGAGCAATAGCTCCAGTTCAGGAAGCACATTAATTAAAAAACATAATTTTTGCTGCAGAGCAGAGTTATTGTTGATGATATTAGAAGAAGATATATATATTCTTTATCAAGAAAAGTGAATTAATAAGACCTCCTCCCTATCTCAGTCATGCTTTTTGTGTAGTTTCCTCAATCATTTGAGAGAATACTGAGATGCCCTCTTCTTTTTCTTCTGAACATAAATGTAACTTCAATATCTATGTTTATTTCATTTCTTTGGGGAATATAGAAGTTCCATTTTCTCATGGCAGTAAGTCAATTCCTTTCCGATTGGCATGATGAGTGATAATAGCCAAAATCTGTAGATTTTTTCTTTGCATTTAGTTTTTATTACATGGGAGCTAATATTTTCTAATTGATTTTTGCCAAAAATGCTTTTTTCCACCTGTATTCATAATTCAACTTAGATACAGGTTAGGGTAGAGATCCCAGGATTTAGGAAAATGTGCATAGAATTCTTCGTTGTTGTACATCACTCATAGTTTTTTGCTGCTTTTTTGATGTTAAATAACTGAATAAGCAGAGTTAAAAAGGGTAAAAGAGAAAATGAGAAACCAAAAAGTACATAAAAAACGCTGCTGAACAGAATCCCACAATTTGGTGTTCCAAGAAGTAGCATGCACAATGCTCAATGACAAATAAAATACTCTTGTATAACACTATACTAAATTAAATATTTTAACAAAAACAGTCTCAAATACAACAGTCATGTGAACAAAGTACAATAGTGCTTTTTATACCAATAATAATAATAATTAAAAAAAAAAAAATTTGCTCCAAAATGCAAACATGAATAGCAAATATTTAATGGCAGACAGCCTCTTTCTTGGAGCCTTAATGCCACATGATGTCATCAGTGACACACAACACACTGAGAATGGTACTAGCAGAATGAGAATACGCAGAATAAAACAATAAAGTATTTGCATATTTCAGTAAAAATTGGAACTGTTGCAATTGCTTTTGGATTTTTTCCTTAATTCTTGGGTATCTAATGAAACCTAGATACCTCTTACATGGTCAGAAGGTACATAGTTTTCTTGCAATTTCTGTGCACTTGTAAATTAGTAATATATAAAATGTTAACTATATAAGAGTATCAAGTTATGAACAAGAACGTTTGAATAAAAGAATTAAATGAATATGAAGAAAATATTGTAGAAGTAGATTTTACCTTCAAAATAAGATTGAAATGTGTCAATAAGAGATTTGATGAAATTGAATTAAAAGATGAATTGTAAAAGAAAGAAAAACAATTACCATAAATTAATTCAAGAAGTTCATGAAGAGTGAAATGATTGTAAAATATTCAGGTTATTTGACAGGAGTAACATATCCTAAAAGTTATCAAAAATATAGCCTATTAATTAGCCTAGAACTTCAATTGATTACTAGCCAGAAAGTGTTGATATAAAAAATTTAGGTAAGATATTACAATCATGAGAACAGAAATGTACAAGAAATGATGCAATAATATATGTCAAATTATAATGAATAATGAAAAATAGAAGAAATTTTAATTATATCAATTATTGTATGATATATTAATTAGATAAAGTAAATGGAAAGATATTTTTTCTTGGAATTGAATTAGAAAGAATGAAAATGGTTTGCCCCGAATCAAACAAGATTAATTGATTATGTTATAAATAAATTTTAAATAAATATCATGTGCAGTGTAAAAACACCTTAAGTATATATGTACCAGAGCAATGAATTTCTACAGTGTGTGACCGATCTCCATGAAAGTTGACACATCTTCGTGTTTTTTCATCCAGAAGGTTTGTATGCTGTTAAGTTTGTTCTAACTCCACAAAATGTCACTGCAGCACGAGATTGAGCTTAATTTTAAATCAATTTCCATTCAAACCGAGCTCCACCTGGGCTTCATTGTTGCTGGGCATTGCTGTGTGATGCAAGCCGAGGCCGAGGAGATCAGGACAGGCAGCGCGTGCAAGGGAGACGGAGAGAGACAGACAGACAGACAGACAGAAAGACGGAAACAGATAGGCACAGAGGGAGACAGACAGAGATAGACAGTCAAAGACACAGAGAGAGAAAGAGATGGAGAGACAGAAAGAGACAAACCAAGAGACAGAGAGACAGAGAGAGAGAGAGAGAGAGAGAGAGAGACAGACAGACAGACAGAGACATAGAGAGAGGGAGACGTGACACAGAGAGTGACTCAGACAGAGACAGACAGAGATGTGGGGAGAGAGACACTGAGGCAGGGATAGAGAGTGACAGAGAGAGAGAGAGAGAGAGAGAAATACAGAGACAGACAGGGACAGAGACAGAGAGAGAGAGACAAATACAGAAGCAGACAGGGACAGAGACAGAGAAACAGAGGCAGATAGGGACTGGGACAGAGATAAATAGAGGCAGGCAGAGAGAGACAGAGTCGGATAGAGACAGGGATAGAGAGAGAGAGAGACAAAGAGAGGGAGAGAAACAGAAAGAGGGAGAGGGAAGGAGAAAGTGGAAGAGAGAGGGAAATGGAGAGCTGGACAATGTCTGCCAAGTTCTGCTAATGCTTTATTCAAAGGAAACCTAAGCTACTTCAAGAAATCACCATGAACTATACAATACAACAAACTGGAAGTAAATCTGGTATGAACTGAGCTACAATTGTTAAGTCACAAACAAAAATAAACATCTAGGAAGAAAGTTCAACTCTGTAAAAGATGAAGTTATTAGAAAGATAACAACGTTATGTCATATGAAATCTACAGAATTTGAAAAGACAA